AGCAGGAATATCTTACTAGGATTATGAATAATTTTGGTTTAAGATAAAACAAATCTAACAGAGAACCTTTTAATAAAAACTGCTCAAAGCAGACTGTCAGAATGAATGGGGAAGATACACCTTTGTATCTCTGTATTTATTCTATTAATGAATATGGACACATTAGACTTATCTCAGTCTAAAGCCTGCAAAGAAAAAAGGAGATTTCAAGACACCAGACTTTTTAGCTCACGTATTCAAAGTCTTAGAAAACTAAAGCAAAGTGTTTTTGAGGATGGAGATACCTTTAAAAATCATGTTTCTGAAACTGAAAACCCAATGCACAGAAACAAAAACACTGTAGATACACTCTAATATTTTCTATTGTTAACATTCAGTTTCAGGAAAATAACCCCTTTACTTTAGTATTTTAAATCCAGCTCATCTCAAACACTTTTGTAATGTGTTGTTTTAAACACCAGATTTTTGCTATTTATAGGTAGTTCACTGAAGAAAACAGTTACAATGGATTTAACTTAATAAATTAACCCTACATTGTCCACAAGAGCTACGTTATACAGCAGAGAAATTGGAGGCAATGGCTTTAATTACAGAGGTGCCTTAGTGGGATGGTTCCAGCTGAGGTTGTGTTTTACAATGAGCAGTTTAAGTCCCTTAACATAAGAATGTCACAAGTCTTTGCCAAACCAAAGCTAGTCTGCTTCAGTTAGGAGCAGAAGCTTTTATTTTCTAGTTAATTTTCTTATTGTTTTTCAGAATTCAAGCCAATTTATAAGCCCTCAGTTTTTTATTTTCCCCCTTAGAATCTAAAGTCTTTTGCAGGCCTCCATAATGACCATAGAAACACTAAAACCATTTTGCAGCAAGGGGATGCCTGTAACAGCCTCCCCCTCTCCCTGAAAGGAGAGTCTGACTATTTTTGTAATGTCTTCCTCTGCCTTGCCACAAGTGGTTTTCTTTTCTGCTAAGACAGCTAACAGAATGGGCTTCTCTGCACAGAAATATGATGCTGCATTCTTGTTAAGGGAGGCCAAGCATGGGCTATCAGGAGAAGAGACAACCTGCTCAGAAACAGCTCAACAGTAGGAAAAGACAGGAAAATAGCATGCTACCCTGATCAGCCTCCAGCTGAGGAAGTGTCACCAGGAAAGGATGGGGATGGAAATAATTCATGGCACTATGAGACAGAGGTGTCCTGCAGCCCCAGATCACTTAGAATGCAGGTGTCATTTCTCACTAAAATGAACAAACACCTTGCACAAGAACAAATCAAGTCTAAGGTGGCATCAGCCCTGCATAGTGTGTTCATGAGACGATAAAACCCAGGAGGGTGCAGAAGGGGCCAGAGCCATCAACTTCTTCTTCCTCTTGGGATGGAAGGGGTGGGGGGCAGGAAGGGGAAGGCAACAAGCTGGGAGCACCAGACACTGGCTAAAACCCGAGTCATATGACTCAAGTAGCCTACCCCAACCTGGCTCAATTCTGTGTCTCACTCGGACACTTCCCAAGGAGCTAAGAGTTGCTAGTCCTAAATTGCACTTCGTTCTTCTGTCTTGGCCTCAGCAAGTACCAAGCATTGTGACCAGAGAACCAGGATCTCAAAGGCTCCCATCTTAATCTCTCCTGGTTGTTTCAGCACTCTTATATGCCAAACCTTTGATTTTAAAAAGAAGAAGTTTCTTTCTGCAGAGCAGGAGTTCAGAGGGGGAAAAAGTGTGCTGTCAAACAGCAGCGTTTAACCGCTGGTCTCTGGTAACACTACCCACCCAGATTTCTTCTTAAAAAGCCTCTCCCAGTTTGTCCTACATGCAGACTTACTGCATAGCTGAAGTCACTTACTTCCAGTGAATGCTATCCAGCGGGCATATTTAGTAGCTTCTCTTCGCCAGTGGGAAGCCACCAGCAAACCACATGTGACAGTCAGTGAAATGATTCCCATAATGATGAAAAATAATGTAGTAACCCACTCTGGAGGCAACCGTGGAGGAATACAGGTCCTGTCACGTCCATGGATGGTTTGACACTGTCGCACAAGGCCAACTGTGAGTGCACCTGAAAATATACAGCAGAGGCAAGTATGAGCAAGATTAACTTGTAAGGGACAATATTCTGAGTTCTTTCTGTTGCTCCTCAGGGTCCTACCAAAACTCAGAGTAGTCAAAGAAGGTGGATGAGGTTTTCCAATGGGGTCTGACAGTGCCAATCACTATCAGCTGAAGTGGTAACTGAGCAGCAGCCAGGCTCATTTCCTTTTCTGCTACAGGGAGATATTCCTTTGTCACCTTCTAATTTCCTCCACTCTGAGAAAACTGAAGCAGGAGTGGGGATGG